CAGGGCTTGGCCTCTACCCCCGGGGAACAGTGAAAGGATGAGAGGGAATGGCCTCAAGTTGTGCCAGGTGGGTATCACAAACAATTTCTTCTCAGACAGAGTGGTGAGGCACTGGCACAGCTGCCCAGGGAGGTGGGGGGTCACCATCCCTGGAGGTGTTCAAGTAACATGGAGATGCAGCACTGAGGGACGTGGCTGGTGGCTGGCCAACGTTTGGACTAGATGATCCCAGTGGTCTTTTCCGACCTTAATGACACTACGATTCTATGATAAACATGGAACCCATGGGGTAAACAAGTCCCGATGGTACTTCATTATCTACTGCACTAGTTAATAAATCATACAGTTACAATTTTTAAGCCAGGAAAACAAAAAAGAGAAGTCTTGAGAAACTTGTCATTAAAACTAGGAGGAGGGAATAAATGAGTATTAAAATTTAATGTAGGAGTGGATCTACTGTCTAAACTACAAAAACAAATGAACAAAAAAAGGCAATTATAAGCTTGTGTTTTTGTTAAACAGGACAACTGCAAATATGCAGATGCGTGGAGACAGGCTCAATTCTGGCAAATAATTAGGTTTGGGGAAAACTGGTGTGCTTGCACAGTAAGTAGTGCACAGTTTTGACTACAGTAATGCCCACAGAGCACGGAAAACTTTCATAATGCACTGGTATTTGTGTTGGTGCCGATCCAGAAGTAGGAGAACTTCTGTTCTTTCAGTTCTGGAAAGAACCTTACCCCACACACTTATTTTAATGGTACACATCTTGCTTTGGTAATTTTTTGTTTCATTTGTTCACCTCAAGTTTTTAACTTGCAGAAGCAAATCCGATTATAGAAAATTAATAAAAAATAAATAAAATAAAATAGAAAGCAACACCCCAAGAAGCCATCCCACTTATACTGGACACTAATACAAGAGTAATCTTCTGTTTGCCCTAATGTATATCTTCAAGAGACACAAAAAATATTTCCATTTTTCACCTCAATAGAGCCCTGCCTTATCTAGAGCCAGACGCAAGGCAGGATCCCCCTACAGCTGTTGTTGCACCTTGTCTGGCTGTCCTACAGCACCAAAGCCCCACCACGCATTAGGCAAAGAGGCATTGCTACAGCTGCAAGGGAGCCAAGTCATCACTTGTTCGGGCCGCACATAAACTATTCAGTGTTATTAGCACTCACTTGCACAAGTTCTCATGCTCATCAACAAAATGGAAATGAGGCGGCGGAATAATGCCTGCGCTTTGAAGCTCCGGAGATCAAAGCCACATACCTGCCTCATTCTGTGATCCTGCTTCAGCCTTTCCTGTTATTCGTATGCCAACATATACTGCCTTCCTTTCTGGAATATTTCTGGATTGCACGCTCTGAGCACAAGCTACCTGCAGTTCATCTTCATACCCCTGATACTCCTAGGAGGTTTCTCTTCTCGTACCAATCCCAAAGTTGAGAATGTGCTTCCTACATCTAATCACCTGTGCACGCGAGATCCTAAGCAGGAATAAAATGCCTTAGAATGCAACACCACACCCCAAACTTCACCTCAGCTTCATGCCACAGGCTGGTGTTTTCCAGCAGGATTTGGCTACTGCAGCACAGAAATCTACCTGCCACAGGATCCAAGCACTGAGGAGCCACGGGCTGATCTCGGCACATGAATCAGTCCCCAGTTCTCCCAAGCAGAAGAAAGCGTGTGGGCAGGGGAGCTCCCAGCAGTTTCACTGTTGCACTTTTAAAAGAATGAGAGGAGAAGAGAGCTACAAAGGCTAAGACAGGGCCAGATGTTAGGAAACAGCCCACAGTGTGTGACAATGGAAGCAATGGGATTTGAGAGAGTGCAGAGAAGAGCTGAGGGTGGGAAAGATCTATTTATTCTTTTATTATTCAAAAATCTACACGATTGTTTAAGCCAGTTTCTTTACTGTTCAGAGAAACAAGAACACTTCAAAGAAGTTAAAAGAAACTTTAAGAGTGTAATGCCCCAGCAACCTGCAAGTGACATGGATGGGGGAAAGGACTGGGCAGCAGCAGGACAAAGACAGGAGCTGCTGGCTTGCAGTAGAGCAGCAGCAACCATTTTACCCACTGGGAGTTGAATGGCAAACATGTGAGGTCCTTGCCTTGTAGCCTGGAACAAGAAAACATTCCTGAATGGATAAAACAAGAGTTATCCAGATAGCTTTGGCCTTCACTGGGGGGAAGGGGAAAAGAAGCCTGCTCTATGGAGAGGGAGAAAGAAAACTGAATAGGCACAGTTCTTCCGCCACTTCTGAGATTAAAGGGATAAATAAAAACCCACAGCTACGCAAGAGATGGAGAGCAAAGAAAGGGCACTTGAAGCAGCCTTCCCCATCCCTTACTGATACCTGCAGCTTCAGCTCTCCCTCACCAGGCCTGATTGTCTCTCTCTGTATCTGCTATATTCCGAGTGGTTTTTCCTTACTCTTCCACACTGTTCAGGCAGCAGAAGGACCAACAATAGCTGCCTGCTTGCCCTTCCAGGCAGCACCTGCACATCTGCTGCGCAGGAGCAGTGCAAGGTGACACAGGGTGAGATGGAACCTGCATGGCCGCCCCTTGAAAGGGGTGCACAAAGCTTCAGACTTGGAGCACAATCCCTACTTGTGCCAGCATGGAATGGTTTACCTTAAGGTTCTCCACAACTGTTCTAGGCATGTGCGAGCACAATGCCTGCGGGCCAATAAACCACTCACCTCGAGGCAGAGTTTCTCAAGCATGGCATTAGGTACAGTAGCGCAGGCTGATTACCCTGCCAAACCTCAATTCCACCTCCAAAGCAACAAAAGTCTGAGGACTTGACAACAAAAAGATTTAAGCATGGTCTATCATGGACAACTCATTTTATTTCCGCTAATGAACTCAAGATGAACTAGTTAGGCTGAACTTTGTGAGGAAAGTTCCATCTGATGGCAAGGAATCCAGCATGAGAAATAGGAGCCTGATGGGTTAACATCTGAGTAGGCAGCTGAGCTGAGTGATGGGGAGGGCATAGGGCAGCATGGCTGCAGACTACCCACATAATTACAGATTGACTCTTCCTGGCCTCCCAGGAGAAGTTCTACTTGCTTAACCCAATCCTAATTTGGGGGAAGAAGAGCTAACTTCAAACAGCAGTTCCTCTATTAGACAACACCTTTCATCACGCCCCTCTGCAAGCAGCCATGTGGTGTTTTCAGCATGTTCCTTGGACAGGTGGGCACATTCTGTCCCACTGATCAGCACAGCTCCGGCAGGGACCTCCCCACTGCTGGGATGGATGGAGAGCTTTGCCACAGCCTTTGTGTTAAGGTGACACATGGGATCAATTAAAGCGAGGTGTCAACAGCAAAGTAAGCACGTCTTTGAAAATCTGCAAGGGAACAGCTGTGGCACTGCTGCCCCTCAGACCCACAGTTTCTGACTCCTGCACATGTTCATCACTCCCCCAGACCTCAGCGCCAGATTTCTTTGGCACCTGCTTCTCCAGTCTTAGCGCAGAACAGGGAAGAACAGCAATACTCCTATCAATGGGAGTCTCAAAACAGCATGCTGCATCCTCTGGCAAACCTCTGCAGGAGCTCAGGGCAATGCGGACCAGGACACCCCAGAGCCCTGGCAGGGCTCCCAAAGAGTACCATACAGCGCAGTGCATCTGGTCACTGAGCACTGTAACAGCCAAATGGACACAAACTAAACATTTCCTTCCTGCCACCATCCAAGCCAGAGCAGCAACACCTGTGCTAATCTGAGACCTCTCTTTGAACTCTGAACTGGTTCTGGCCTTTGCAAGTCCTGTAAGACCAACATCTATGAGTGCACTGCTCAAACAGGCAGCAAATACACACAGCCTGCTCTGTCTTTGTTCAGGTTCTATAAACACTGTCACCATGCAAAATGGAAGCTCTGGTCCTGAGCATCCCACCCTTGCACCAAGCAAATGCATGATACAAGCAGCACATTTATCGTACTTCATTATACTTATAACAAAAAGAGCAGTATGAAACTCGTCCCCTCACACCACCATGTACACCATCTGTGCCAACATCCATTGACACTACTGGGACTGCTGCTGCTCAAACACAGCAAGAGCTGCTAACAGCACATGTAATGACAGAGCTAACCAGGGAGCTGGCTGCCAGAGCACAACAGCAGTCACCTTTCATGGAGTGACTCCCACACCTGCATTGTGCTGCAGCAGCTCCTGGACCAGATTTGTTTGCTCTCAGCTGCTTCAAGTTTCCACAGAGCAAAACTGCAGCACTGTTGGTGGCCACACCTCTACTCATCAGCTACCTGCAACCAAGATGCAACAGCCCAGCATAGGCCTTTTCCAAATGAAAAGTGGAAAGCTTTAGGGAAAAACAAAACACACCAGTTTGGCCTATGACAAAGGCACACTTTTGGGGCCTGCTTCTCATGCTGCCTGCAACACTGCCACGAGCATGGGGCAGCCATGCTCCACATCAACTGAAGCACAAACAGTGGACGTAACAATTTGAAGATTCCTAAGCCCTTCCCAAATTCAAAGCACTTTCCAAACCTAGTTGAGTCCCAGTTCAGCACAGCCTTGTGAGGTGATGCAGTCAGCAGAGTTCTACACGTGGGAAAACACGAGTAGCGTGGCTCGCCGCCCTCCCGAGCCGCAGGAGCAAGCGCTAGCCAAAGGAGGATTAAAACCGGAGCTTCCTATTTCCAGCCCCATGCTCTCAGCCAATTCACATTTTCATTTTCTACAGACCACACAGTAACTACGCACCGCAACGCCGCACCCGCGCAGTCCACACCCGGTATCAGCAGTCGCATCTCAGCAGTACCTTCCGGGACGGGGCCACAGCAACCGGGCCGCCCCCGAACACCGCACTCCGGGAACGGGCCCGAGCCACCGCGGGGTCACGCGCCCCCCCGGCCCCGGCCATCCCCGGGGGGCACAGCGCCGCGCCCCTCCCCCTCGCGAGGGCACCACAGAGCTCCCCGCGAGGCCGCGCCCCTGGAGCTCACCTTCCCGGCCGGCTCCTAGGGCTCCTCCCGCTTCTGGAAGCTGATGCTGGCGTACGCGCTCAGGTCGTCGCTGGAGTGGCTGCTCCCGCGCGGTGAGCGGGGCTGCAGCGGTTTCCCCCCCGGGCCGGAGGCGCCCTCCGCGGGGGGGTGCAGGTGGTGGCGGCGGTGGCCGCAGTCCTTCACCAAGTCCAGGTCGATGTAGTTGAGTCCGTTCTCCAGCGCGGCCCCCGGCCCCCTGCTAGCGGACGGCGGCTCTCCGGCGGCGGGCCGCAGCCACACGTTCTCGAAGGAGGCCGAGCTGTGGCGCTTCACCTCCTCGGCGCCTCCGGCGCCGCCGCAGGGGAACGGCGCCCCGGGACCGCCGCCGCCGCCGCCTGCCGCCCCGCGGGCGGTGCTCGGCGTGGACGAGAAAGTCTCGGAACTGTGCCGCCGGCGGCCGCCCTGCGGGTCGGCGCGGATCACCTTGGCGCTCTGGTTACGGCCGGGGCTGAGGCTGACGCGGGTGAAGGCGCTGCCCGCGCCGGGGCCCCCGAGCAGGGAGGAGGAGCGCGGCGGTGCCGCCGCCAGCTCGGCCGGGGACCGCGGCAGCTCGGGGGAAGCGGCGGCGGCCGGCGGCGGCTTCTCAGCGGCGGAGCGGCCCGCTCGCGCGTCGGCGTAGCCGAGCAGCGGAGCGGGCGAGGAGGGCGAGGGGCTGTCGGCGCAGTCCGAGCAGGAGCCCCCCAGCTGCACGCTGACGTAGTCCCGGCCGGGGGGGGCCGCACCGCGACCCGGCCGTGCCGCGGGGGCCCCCCGCGCGGCGGCGAAGGCGCTGGGGCAGTGGGCGCGGGGCGGCCCCAGCTCCATGTTCATGTACTCTTCGGCGGCCTCCCCGCCCGTCGGTCGCGGCAGCCCCGGCGCGGCCGAGGGGAAAGGCGGCTTGTTCCCGGGGACGAACTCGATGTTCACGTACTCGCCGGGGCTCTTGGGCTCCGGGGGCGGTAGCGGCGGGGGCTGCTCGCGGGCCCGCGGCAGGGTGCTGGCCTTGGGGCCGCCCAGCGACAGCCGCGTGGGTCGCGCCAGGCGGCCCTTGGTCTGCACGGCCGTGTCCACCTTGCGCGGGGGCTGCGAGCGCGGCGCGGGACCCTCGGGGCCGCAGGGGCCGCCCAGACTGTCGCTGCTGGTGGAGGACGATGAGTCCTCGGCGGCGTAGAGGAGGCGGCCGGAGCCGAGCGCCACGCGGGGCTGGGGGCTGCCCTCCTCGCCCGCCGGCCCGCCGGCCCGCCGGTGCACGTGCTTGAAGGAGCGCGGCAACGAGAAGTAGGAGTAGATGGGCTTGTGGAGGACCGCGGCCGCCGCCTCCTCGACGCCCGGCTGCCCCGCCGCCCCGAAGTAGCAGTCGGGCGGCGTGCTGGTGGTGGAGCCGCTGGCCGGGGACATGTTGATGTAGTCGCCGCCGCCGCAGGGCAGCTTCCCTTCGTTGCTCTCCACCGAGAGCTTTGGGTGGTGGCCGGCACCGTTCGTCCAAATCTTGCCGTAGCCGGCAGAGCCGCTGTCCGGGGAGTAGCTGCCGCTGGGGGACATCATCATGTAGCCGTTCGAGTCCACCGTAGCCTGAGGGTGGCGGCCCCCTCTGCCAGGGTTGATGATTTGCTGCGGGGCTGACACGCTCTTGGGGCTCATGGGCATGTAATCACCGCCCTTGGGGGCAGCCCCACCGCTGGGCAAGGGGGCTACGCCAGGGGACATGGGCATGTAGCCATCATCCGTGTGCGGAGCAGAGTTGGTCCTATGATGGCTGCCATCTAGGTGGTGCATCTCCAGACACTCCTCAGGGTAGGAGTGAGTAGGCACAAAGGCCGAGTGCCGGTAGGAGGGCAGCCGGCTGCTGCCACAGGGGTAAGAAGGCAACATCTCCGTATACTCCTCAATGGAAGCCACCGAAGACTGGGAGGGTGTCTTCTGGTGGGAGATGGTGGGTGAAGTGCCCGCAGAGTGAGTCCGTTTCCTGAACGCCTTGTCCAAGTCAGCAATGTCTTCGCTACCGGCTCGGGGACAGCATGACGTGCTGGGATAGCGGGGCTGCTGCTGCGGGTGGCAGGTGCGTGGGATGAAGTGGCCATTGGGAGCTGCCAGGCTGCAGCAGGACGAAGCAGCCTTCCCCCCCATGCAGATGTAATTGAGCTCTTCATCGCCCCGAGCTGGTGGGGTGTGTCCTAGAGAATCCGGGGTCACACTGCGAAAAGAGTTGCGGAAATCACATGGGCTAGAACCATATTCATCAGAAGAAATAAATCCACCATCGCTAGGGGAGCCAGAAACCGAAGCACTGGACCTTCGTGGAAACAGGCAGTCTGATGTGGAGCCATGGCCACTGGTGCTGCTGGATGACAGGCTGACTGGGCTGGTGGCCGACGGGGAGCAGCGCGAGGAAGGCATTGGGATGGAACGGCTGTGGTTGAGTGGAGGATGGAGCCTGGAGTTGCCACGGTGTCTGTGCGAGTGGGTCCGGTTGGCACTGGGGCTAACTGGGCTACCATCCACCGAGGCAGGCCTTGACATGGTGCCTTCCCCATCGCTGGATGCGCGGACCCGGAAAGAGCTGGGTTTGCCACCCATACCTCCTCCCCCACCGCCAGCTGGGGAAGTAGCCGTAACGCTCTCGGTTCTGGACCGGCGACTGAGCCCCACTTGGCTGGGCGGAGGGTTGTTGATGTGGTGCCTGCTACGAAGGGGCACAGAGATGGGGTTGGAACAATTGGAGGAGGACTGGCTCTTGCTGCGCGGTCGGAATTCCTCGCTCATGGCTCTCATGGCCTCCAGGATGGTTTCATGCATGTTCTGTGCCACCACAGAGTCATCCACCTGCATCCAGAACTCCCCAGGCCCGGTCACTGCCGAGCGTCCCACCTCGATGAAGAAGAAGTTCTCAGAGTGTCCGCAACGGCGGATATTGAGCAGCTGCAGCACCACAGCAGCCGCATCCGAATTCAGCTTTACGAAGCTGATGGTCTTGTTAGTCAGGCACAGGCGGTAGATGCCAATCAGGTTCTTTGTCTGGCCTAGCCCCTTAGGCTTCAGAATTACTTGCCAAACTTCCTTAAAAGCTGGGCCAGGGGCTACCTCGCCATAGCTGTCCTCACCTGCTTCCCCCAGCCCCACGCTGCTGCCCCCAAAGGTGACATCACTGTGGTGGTGGTGATGATGGTGGTGGAGGTGGTGGTGGCCCTTGGCCCTGTTGTGCAACTGCAGCAGCGCTTGGTACCAGCTCTCCTGTTCCAGTTCACTGTCAGCTGCGATGGCAAAGTGCTCGTCCTTGGTGTAGAGGGCCACCAGGTGCTTGTTCTTGGAGTCAGCCCGCTTGTTGATGTTGAAGCAGCTTTCCAATGGGATGGAGCGCTTGGGGGCCCCCGACTTGTGTCTCCATTTCTTCTCATTCTCGTAATACTCCAGCCGGGCGGGTCCAGACTCGCTGGCTGCCCTTAGCACGAAAAAGCGTTTATGCATGCTCTTGGGTTTGCGCAAGTAACCCACCTTTCTGACATCCGAGAAGAAGCCCTCGTTGTTATCTGTGGGGCTGGCCATGGCGAGAGGCAGTGCTGCTGCAACCGCCGTCAGCAGTCCACAAGACCCCAAAACAGCTGAGCCAGCTGCAAAAGTCAACAACCACCCAAAATAAAATGCTCACAACAATTTAAAATTAAAAAAAAAAAAAAAAAAAAGGAAAAAAGCTCAGGATCTCCTTCTGAAAACGGGACGGCGGAGGGACAGGAGCACGGAGTGAGCAGCTGTTCGGCAGCAGAGGCAGCCTCCGGCACCAGACCGGAGTTCGTGTCGCTGTTTATGCCCCAATCGCCACTACGTGCGCGTCTTTAATAAGTTACAGTCCGGTCCCGCTCAGTCCAGGCGAAAGCCGCGTCCCGGGGGCAGCCGCCGGAAGGGAGAATCGCATCCTCGGTCCGCGGGGTTCAAGTCCCCACGGGGCACGAGGTCCGGCAGCCCTTCCTCTCTCAACTTTACCTCCGCAAGCTGCGATTCTTGTTGCAGATTAAATATCCTCTCGGGGGCGGAGATTGTTTTGCAAAGTCCGGGGTTTGCACCCAAAAAAAAAAAAAAAAAAAAAAAAAAAAAAAAAAAAAGCACGCTTCTTCCCCCCCTCCCGAATTAAAAAAAATAAAAATAAAAAAATAAATAAAAAAAGAAACCAACAGGAAAGCCCCACAGCACAGCACAGCCGCCCCCCAGGCTCAGCGCCGCGGCTGCTGCTGCTGCTGCTCCCGCTCGGGCGCGCGGAGGAGGCTGCCGACCCCATTCAGTCCCATCTCGTTAGGCGGAGAAAGTGCCATTTCCACACGGAACGCGACCCCGGCGGCGGCAGGAGGGGAAGCAGCCCGAGCGCGGCACGAACATCCCCTCTTCCTCCTCCTCCTCATTCCAGGAGGCAGTGCCTCAGCGGCCGGCGGCACGGCTCCCTCCCGCGCCCCAGGCTGGCGGGGGACGCGGGCACGGCCGCGACGACTCCCTCCACGCCGGCTTCTCCGCGGAGTTTCCCTGCGCCCCGCACCGAAACGGGTGCCGGGGGCCGCGCTTCGCTCTCCGGCCCCTCCGCCCGCCGCCGCGGCTCAGGCTCGCTGCGAGCAGAACAACACGTGACGGCGCCAGCGCGTGGACCATCCCCGAGCCGCCGCCGCCGCCAGGCTCCCGGCCAGCCCAGCGCCGCGGCCCCGCGGCCCGCCCCGCCGCTCCCCGCCCTCAGTCAGCGCGGCCGCGGGGGCCGCCACCGCCGGGCCCGGCCCCGAGCCGCACCGCCCGCCGAAGGCCGCGCCCGCATTGGTGCGTCCGCCCGTCAGTCACGGAGGCGGCGAGGAGGTGGGGCCGCGCCGAGGCGCGTAGTAAGGAGGCGTAGATGCCATTCGGCGGCGTGTTATTTATAAGCGCCAGCGGCGGCCTCTGCAGTGTGGCGGGCTTGCGGCGCGAGGCGGGGATCCGCCCTCCTTCGCCTCGCGGCAGGGCAGGTCCGAGCGCCGAGCCGGCCCGAGCGCCGCTGCGCCTCGAGAACGTTTCCGGCTCTTACGTGGCTCGAGCGCGGCTGCCCCTCCTCCGCCGTGCCGCGAATAGCGCCGGGGAGGTTCGGCCCCGCCGAGGCACGGAGCCCCATGGGGCAGAAACATCGGGTGGGTGTTCCTAGCTGAGGGAATCTCTTTTAATTTCTTTTCCCCGAGCAGCTGTCTATTCTCCCGCATCGTTCTGCGCTAAATAGAACCGAATAGCCAACGTGCTCTGCAGCTTAGAGCGCTGAAACGTGCTGCATGCGTACCTCCCGTCGCCGAGTAGGAAACAAGTGCTGCAAGCCAGCTCCGGGAGATACGCTGCTCAATGCTGCCACCTGCAGGGCAGCCCCCGCTCCGTCGCTCTCGCAGAGCTCAGGGCAGTGTCTCCTCCATGCTATTTCTCCAGAACACAGAGACTTCTACTGCCGTTACCAGCTTTGCTGGGAAGGATCTCGTGGCTGTACAGCTGTCTGAGATTGCCACGCGGCAGCTCGGAATAGAAAGGCTTGCCCGACACATTTGCACTCATGTAGAGATCTGAGGGGATGCAGGCCGTGCTGCTAGCCATCTTACAGCTGACCCAAACCACAGCATCATTTAAAGGCATCCACACAATGATGCTTTGTAATGCATGCAAGAGCGGAATCCACTTGCTGAGACCAAAGGTGTGAGCAGACAGTAACCCATGCCATACCACTGATGTGATCTCATGCTTTCCTATACACAGTAGTTTGCCATGACAGAAACAAACGTTTGTATTGAAAATAATTCCATTCCTTGTACCTTGAGACAGTTACTACATCTTGGAACAGGATGATGGGAAGTTAGTTCCCCATTCATGGCACAGTGAGACTGACTAAAGCCATTGGGCAGAACTGTGGCTACTACTGCAGCCATGTTGCAGTGCAAAGGCTGTGGTTCCTAGGGCAAGAGGAGAGCTCCTAAACCTCCTTTCCCTGTCCTCCAGAGGCATGGGAGTGCATGTTTGTGCACCGAATAACATGCAGTTTTAATTAGATATTTTGCACATAATAGACAAGGCTATTAAGTAATAACTTCCATTTGCTATGCCCCATTCTTTGTCTTCTAAAGGATTGATGCATTTAGCAAGCACTAGATCATACAAATGGAATGATCTCCTGACAGAGGACAAAATCCACCTGATGTGTAGTGTTGCACAAGGACACAGAGCTCAGGATGAAAGCAGAAGGCAGTCCTGTCCACAGCATGTGCTCTGTTTACCTCCTTTCTCTTCAATAGCAACAAGACTGACCCAACAGACACATTAACTTTTGGTTGTTCTTGGCTGTTTTTCAGGGCGATCCACTGTGCGTCGCAGAGTTTTCAAACTTTATGTTCCAATTCACATATTTTGTCTAGTAGAACAGACAATAACCAACACTTCCAGCATATTTTCAAGCAGTTTTGTTTTTTGGAGATAGATTACATCACACCAGACTACATCTCACAATGACTGGGTTGGTTTGTGATTTTTTTTTTTTCCTCTGAGCTCCAAAGGTCTGAAACACCACACTTCTCAGTAAGGTAAGCACACACCAGCAGACCAAGGAGAAGAATGTATCCTTGCTTTTTACATATAAATATCCCCCTGCTTTGGCAGTGAACCTGTGAGAATTCAGGCTGCACAATTAATATCAGAGGGGTTCACATGATAGAATATTCTGGCAGTAAATCGAGAGGGTAAAGAGCAGCAGGCCACTCAGGCTCTTGTCCACGTGGGCTATGAACATCCCCAGGCATAAAGATCCCTCACTAGGCAAACTAATAGTAGACCTACCTCACTGTAAGGAAGACTTATGTTTGAACACAGTTTTCAGTATTTCAGTCTGTGCCTGTTGCCAGTGGGTGTCACTGAGAAGTGCCCAGCCCTGTATCCCTCCTACCAGGTATGTCTGCACGTTGACAGTTTGGATCTGGCCCTTGTTCCCAGGCTGACTTCATTGCATGTTTTATTTGCTTAAGCTCATTTGTAGTATTTACTTTCCTCTACATTCAACACTCAGGATGAAACTTGCATAAGTCTTTCAAAAATAGCATAGTCGACTGAAAGCTAGTTAAATCATTACTTGAGTAAACAAGCTGCTTGATTTCTATTAAAGGAGTGGTAGTAATATCATGAGTATGACAGAAACACAGAACAGAACTTACATCCCCAACTTCTACTGTCATCTCTATGGCAAACTGAGCACGCTGATGGAATAGCTAATGACAGCTCTCAAATGTATTACATTACAAGTAGTAAGCTTATCTGATAGTACTTGTATTTAACTGTGTCACAGTAATGAGAACAAAAAAAAAAACAAACCATTTCAGTCATCTTTTTCATCTGTTGCTTATTAGAATTTCTGCAGTGTATTTTCTGCAGATTGGCCAGTACACACATAAAACAGTTTTACTGGTATCAACATACAGAGTATGCACTAATTACATGCAATATTTAATTTGTAATAGCCAATTAACCAGCTCTTATCTTAAAAATAGTGTTAATATATACCTTATTATTTTTCTACCTCCTTAAGTATGGCTCTGTTTAAAGAAGCAAAGAAAGATAAAACATCATTCCTATGCCTTCCATTTGGGAATCTGGCTATCCCAGAGAAGCATCACTAAACTAACAGGAAGCTAAATGATACTTTTGGATAATTCCCAAACTACACTGATTAACCTTCAGCTCTGCATCTATTGTCTTTAGATTTCCATCTTGTAATATCTTCTGAAAAGTGTCAGTGCTTCACAGACTTTTTTGCTTTAATTCTTTTTCTGTCTCCACAGACAAAATTGCCTGGAGCAATTGCATGAATTTCAAGAGTTACAGAATCTTTTATCCAATTTATAATAATTTTTGTCTGTTCTGGTATTAAGGCAATTGTCTCAGGTGCCTTTTGCATAAGTCCACTTTTTTTTTTTTTTTTTTAAAGCCCCTGTAGCAAAGCCCATAGAGGGCGTGAAAAACAAAGCCTAAGAGGCAGTTTTGCCCATGGTTGCTTGAAGATGGCACAGAATCATAGAAGCTGTTAGCTTGGGAAAGACCTCTAAGATTGTCTAATCTAACCATCCACCTACCCTCAACACTGCCCACTAAACCATGTTCCTTAGCACATGTACCTTGAACACCTCCAGAGACAGTGATTCTACCACCTGCCCGGGCAGCCTGTGCCACTGCCAGACCTGGAGTTGCTCTGCTTATGATTAAGGCTTCCTTAAGTTTTCCTTCATGCAATAGGAAAACTTAATTGCAGCATAATGATTTTAAATGGAAAATACTTCCTAAGTTCCTGGTCTTCCAAAAAATTACTGTGGGTTCAAAGCATTACACTGTGCTCTGCTCGCTTTTTTATAAAATGTAAACAGAGAGGAAAAAGCAACTCTGACCTAGTGTATTCAGTGACAAACTGAGCTAACTACTTGTTCAAGTGTAGCTGATCTTAGAATTTTGAGGTATCCCTATGAAAACAGTTCAGCACTCTTATAGAGGTCAAAAAACCACCAAGAACAAATATATTAGAAATTAACAGGTAAAAGACAAAATGTTGTAAATGAATAAATCTGTTGTACACTTGGCCGTAGCCTACTATGGCAAATTCTACTTTCTAGTTTTGAAAACACTATTAAAGAATTGGAAGAAATGAGAATGTGTGATAAAAGGCAGGTCAAGCTAACTTAACAGCCTAAGATTTTTCAGGCTGGAAAAAGAACGCTTTGGAAGTGATGTGACATACCTGCAAATATCATTCCTGGCAAGGAGAAGGTGAAAGATTGATTGTTTCAAGACACAAGATGAAAGACACAAAACAATAAGCCTCAAAACAAATACGAAGCTACTTCTCCAGATAAGGTCAATGAACTCAGGAAATCACCACCAAAGGATGCCATGACTTGGGAAAAAAAAAAAATATCAGCAGATTGGTACCTGCAGAAAAGTCTGTCAACGCAATACAAAGGTACCACAACCGGCTGCAAAACTGCACCAGGTACAGATCTGCAGAAGCTGTGAGGTTTTTTTAGTTAAGCATTGTTGCTTACGGGCAGTACTTGCACATGCATCTACAGAGCTGTTGGCCACTGTCAGTAACACCAAGCCTACATCAGCCCTGGTATTATTCAGCACATGCTTATGCTTCTACAATAAACACTTCACAAATGTTCTGGCTGATCTGAACTCTGTATCTTCCATGTTTGAACCCACAACCTAACCTATAGTAAGACAAAAATACTGCAAGAACAACAGACAATTTAATGAAAATTCATATGCATGATACACACAATAGGGATTACTAATCTAAGTGTATTGTAATTCTAAAATTCTTATTATCCCAGTGCTTCAGATTTTCTCCTAGTTGGAAGCACAATCTAGCCTCTACTTCCAAGTCAAAATAAGCCCATCCCATCAGTGAGTGCAAT